ACCCTTTCAGGTGGCTCATTTGGGTTTCTGTATTCTCCTGGGCACCTTCCACCTTGCCCTCCCCCAGAAGTGTCCGTGCCCACCCCGTCTGTTTGAATGGACTCCAGGTGTGGGTGCCACTTTCCCCACACCAGACAGGTCCACTCCTACTTTGCTGTTTACTAGGGTCAACTGACTCTAATGCACCTATAATGTGTTGAACCACATTTCACTCCAAGACATGTCAAATCCTAACCTCAAGTACCTAAAAATGTGTCCTTTAGACTAAAGGGGGTCATTGTCAAGTGGAGGCAGAAAACCCGCAGCAAACCAACTGCCAATTCTGACATAGCTCGTAGTACCACTAAATGTCAGAGCAAAACCGAGCTCCAAAAGGTTTTTCGTGGTTGACGTTGTACATATCGGTTGCCAGGCCTTTGTTCCGAGGTGCCTCTGAGTGGCCTCACACTGCCAATCCTTCAGTTACCTAGTGAGGGCTTAACTCTTAGCGCCATCCAGGGTCTCTGTACCAGAGTAGAGACCCCCAATCTCTTTCAAGACTAGTGTTTTTATCCAGAAGGGCACGAAGGGGTAGGACCAGAGGATTCATGGAAATGAGAACAGGGAAGAAATGGAAGAGGGTGATTAGATTATTTAAAAAAAAGTGTGGTTATATTGTGGGTATTTACAACTAAAGTTATAAAACGTGTGTGAACGGTTGAATGGAAAAAACCAATTTACTTCATAAAGTTTCATTCAGTTCACAAATAAACAGACACAGACACAGGAGAAAGCAAGCCACGAGAAGACAGAGGCAGAGAGGCTGCCCCAGGAACGCAGGCAGCTGCCAGATGCTGAAAAAGCCAAGGATTTCCTGGTGACACCCTGACTGGTAACTTCCGGAACTCTGAGGGACTGCATTTGTTGTCTTTTTTTTAATTTTTATTTTATTTCATCACTTCTTTTGTGTGTACCGTCAAATCAGATCTGACTGATACAGGGGGAGATTGTTCCTCCTTTTCCAGCAGAGCATCTGGTGGATTCGAACCACGTACCTCTGAGATTGCAGTGCAGCTTCTTGCCACTAGGCCACCAGAGCTCGCCACTGCGTTTGTTGTCTTAAGTCACTCAGATGAATACTGTCCTTGCCCAGAATGGCTCTGGTCCCCGTGAGCAGCCTCCCTCCCTGCAGTCAGGCGGACCTTTTTCTAGGGGGGCCCATTCCTGAGGCTGTCAGGTGTGGCACAATGGTCTAAGCAGGGTGGCTGGAGCCTAGAACCTGGACAGAGTGGACCCCCTCTGGTGGGCCTCCAAAGTATGGGGTCACAGGGGACTTCTTCAGCCAGAGCCGGCCAGAGGTGGAGAGAAACGTGGTAAATGGGCCCCTCTTCCCCACAGAAGAGCCAATGGCAGCCAGCTCTGTCCACACGCATGCTGGGTGAAGTTACGTCCCAAGGAGAGGCTGCCCCAGGCCACCCCTCCCCGGCCCCATCTACAGCATCTTCCTTCTGGGTCCTCCTCAAATGTCTAGGGTGGTGTCTGCTCAGAGACTAGCACTGCCACCACCCTCTGAGCAGATGTGCCCTGCCATGTGTCACTGCGGCTCCAGGCGGGGAGGCCGCATGGGGCGCACAGAGATGGGGGGCAGTGGGCCCAGTCCCATGCTCCTCTCCTCCCTAGTGCCACCCCCCCAGTCACAGTGGAGGAGACAAACATCTCCGGGGTGGGGTGGGTGGGTGGCAATGTCAAGGACACCTTCCCTTGGGAAGCAGACTGGCAGCGGCTCACAGGTTAAATAGGAAGCTCGGGGAGTTGGTGTTAACGGGGAAAACGATCGCGGAGACGGATGAGTAGGAAGTGCGAACGGCACAAAGGTGAGAGGCATGGCTGTGTATGTTCTCAACAATACATTTAAAAAAGAGAAACATGAGCTTCTTGGTGTTACTGAGCTACTGGGTGTCTCCCCGGCCTGCTAAGTGTCTGATTCTTGAAGCTTCAAAGTGGTCCTTTATAAGGCGCAGTCCATGGGCAGCTGCACTCCTGACCCCAAGTCGGAGCCTCGCTGGGGGTTAGAATCCACCAGCAGTTCCAAGAAGACAAGTGGGCAGTCTCCTCTCACGAAGTTAGAGCAGTGGGAAGCCGCTGGGGGGTCAGCTCTGAGTCAGTCTGACACTGGGGGGGAAAAAGACACTCCCTCTGGCCCTGTTTTCCAGTTCTCCCTGCGCAGGGACACCCCAAGAGGGGCAGCCCTAGGTCCCCTACACCCGCACCCAGCCCCAAGCCCGGCATGGCTACGGGCTGGGACTTAGTGGGGCTGTGATCAGGTGCTGGGCTCTCAGTCCCTCAAGCTGGGCTCTGATCCTGCTCTGGCCCCAGGAGGGGTATGGGCAGGGGGCAGGAAGTGGGGGGGCCTAGGCCAGGAGGGCCACCTGGTAGAGGGAAAGAAGACAAAGGCGCAGGCTTCTGTCCAGGTAGTCGGATTACACATTTTAGTGAAGGGCGCGAGGCATCGGGGACAGTGCAGGGCCACAGGGCGAATAAGAGGTCGAGAGCTAGGGTTTGGCGTCAATCTTACAAAGTGTATAAAGAATCTGTGTTTCTCTACAATAACAAAAACCAAAGGCTACAAGAGCGGTTGTATATACAAAACATGGAGATATTGCTTCACTTGCAAACAGGTTCCTGACCAGATAGGGAGACAAGACAGAGGTGGGCGGAGAGCGCGCGGCGTGCAAAAGACGGGGTGGGGTGGGGGGGCTTCTCCCAGCGAGAATCTACAGGCTGGAGCGGGAGGCGCACGCGCAGGCGCAGTGCACAGAGCAGGCGGCCGCCGCCCTTAGAGTGTCCGCGCGGTGGCTCTGCAGGTCAGTCTGGAGGGGCTCTGGTGGGGGCGAGGGGCCCTGGGCAAGTGGCCAGAGAGGGAAGGAGGCGACCTCCGGGAATCTGCCATGGGCAATGCAAGAAGCGTGCGCGGCCTGGGTGTCCTCCTGGCCAGCCCTGGCACCTGCCACCCTCCCCATCGAGGTGCCCCCCTGGGACCTCGAGGCGCAGGAGCCAAGCAGGGCGTCTGGCTCCACACCCGCGTCTGCGGGGGCTCGCTGGGAGGGCAGGGGGCTCGCCGGTCACCG